ACTGTGACCCAACACCTCCACATCCACTTTATTCCATTTTCCCTTTAGTTCTCTTGAGCTAATGGTTAAATTACTGCAGAGAGAATGGCAGAATAGTCTAAAATATCCCAGGAACAGCTACTGAGTTAACCCTAGATTTATTATTTGACATGGTGAGCAATTTACTGACTTTCTCCAAGCTTTAGTTTCTACATGTGTGCTATGAGGTTAGTAACATTACCTAGCCTAACAGGGCTGCTTTCAGTAGTGAATGGGATAATGTGCACATGAAACTCCTAAGTAAGCACTTGGGAAATATCAGTTGCTGCTCTCATAACTAATTGTGGAAGTTGCACAGGTCATCTTTGTTGACTTACATGTAGGCAAATGGTATAGGGCATTTGCAACATCTCTTTGAAGTTTTAACATTCATGATTTTAGATCTCTCTCACTCTCTTTCTCTCTGCCCACCCCAACTGTCATCTTTTATGGTGCATATTTTATTAACTTTTCTGGCTGAGTGATTTCCTTTGTATAAGGTACTTTAAATTATCAAAGCTCTTTCATACAGGTAATCTCCTTTGACTGCTACAAGGACCCTAGCAGATTGGCATGGGTGAGAAGTCTATCCTCACACTGCTGACAAGGAAACCAAGGCAAAGAGAGATTAAGCGAATTACTCTCTCAAAGTCACATGGCTGGCTACTGATAGGGTATATCTAATTCCTGCTTGGGCTGGTGAAATTACTATATAATTATCAAAGCCTTATTCACTGCAAGCCTCAGAAATAGGCACGGGAAATCAATTTCAGAAAATCATTCAGCAGTAACCAAATTCTCAGTGAGATGGAAAATCAGACTGAATAATTAAACCCTACACTTTGGTTGTGAAACCTAGCCATTTACATCAAGAGTTTGTTTTATTCCTTTTTGTTTCTTAGTCTTGTGAATTCTGCTTTCATATGCCATTTGTAGAACAGCATCTTTATGACACTCAAAAACCATTAGAAATTAAAGTTACAGTATTTGTGATTGTTTTTAAGATGCTTCCATGATTTCATGCACCTTTCATCTTATATCCCTTTTGGAGGATAGCATGGATCTTACTCCTTGGAATGAGCTATACTCCATCGAAGAGGCAGGGTCTCAGGTCCTAACCATGCTGGCCATTTTGGTAACGATTTTCTTCCTCTGAAGGGATCTTCCTTTTAGGTTTTTTTTCCTAATATATATATAGCATTTATTATTATTATTATTTTTTTTTTTTGTCTTTTTCCTTTTGATCGGTACCAGGGATCGAACTCACGACTGCCTGCTTGCAAGGCAGGCACTTATGCCACTGAGCTAAATCCCCAGCCCCAGCATTTATTATTTTTATATTTTAATTTTTTGTTAGCATTTTTATTAGTACATATTTGATGTACATAATGTTTACATTTTTTGTGTTGAGTTGGTTTATGCACCAACACATTTTAATTTCTTTTTCATCCCCTTTATTTCCCCTCTCTCCTCCCTCTGTCCATTTTTTGACTTTCTCATTTGAGAAATACCTATCTCCCTACTTCCTATTATCTATCATTTATTTTGCTCTTTGAGACTGTAATGTTAAGTGAAATAAATCAGACATGCAAGCTTAAATAGTGCATGTTTTCCTCTTACATAAGTAACCCAAATTATAAACAAAGAGCTTTATTTTAGTTTTAATTCTGTCAGGACTTTTGATTTGAGTTCAGGGAAGAAGAACCAATAATAACCTGACTTCTAGAAACAGTTGCAGGAGCTGCCTCACATCCTCTTGCCTGTATTTTTCTCCAGCTGTGGCCACTGCAACCAACACTGCAGCTCCTGCCACAGGTGCCTTGGACACCACACACTTTCTGCCATGGCTGCTCTGACTCTGTGTGAAGGCCTGGACAGTGAGTCCTCAGTCTTTGGTCACCTGCAGCCTGAAGAGAATGGGAGGTGACACCCCTGAGAGCAAAGTCCAGCTGACAAGGATGGATGGGGTCAGGGAACAATTTTGAGATGCAGCAGTGAGACTTCTCAGATGATCCTTCAGTATCAAGCCAACTGATCAAGGCAGTGATCAACAAGGAAAGGCATCCTCATAATGGCTTCACTCCTTCCCCATTTCACTCCAGCAACTCCTCTCTTCTTCTCCAAACTAAATTCCATAGGCAAGCCTTTGTCTACAGTTGTGCTTGGGAAGGGGGTATGGGAACCAGGCTGGCTTTTATTTTTAATGCATTAAAGCACACCTACAAAGGTCAATATTGCAATACACTATATGTCTAGTTCAAATAACAACTATTTCTTGATTATCATTTAATAGGGAATATAGTAATTATGGGGAAACACCTGAAATAAGAGGTATTGATCCCATTCTTGCCAATAATTAGTTACATAGTCTAAGGTGCACTATTTAGCCATTTGGGCCCCAGTGCCTAATCTGCAAAATAAAGGAAATGACTTGAATGGCATCATTTCCCAGATCCCTTCCAAAATCACAATATGTTCGTGAAATGAAAGCATCTAGGTAATGTAAAGTAGTAGCTACTTTCCCCCTTAGTAACCCCAGAGATTTGACTAAAAGTATGACAATACTTAGCATGGCTTTTAATAGACAAGTGAGTCAGACCCCTGAAGCTCTAGATTAGAGAATGAATAGTTATTGAGAATCTCAGAGAACACTAACAATGACAAAAAGAAGGCAAGCCAGCCTCTGCAGGAATCAGCAGATGTTAGCTGAGGCTGCAGCATTAAGATAAGAACAGAGTAATGAGAACAGGACTTGTAACCAACTTCCTTGACTACATTGCGGCTGTCACTCATTGATTACACACAGTCCCAGCAGGGCTTGATAAATGGACTCCAAGTGCCCAGACTTTATTTTTCCCTCTAAAAGTTGCTTGGAACTTAGTGATTTAGTGAGACTCTATCTCAAAATAAATAATAAAATAAAGTAAAATAAAACGAAAAGGATGGAATGCAGCTCAGTACCACACTGGGAATATACCCAATAACACACACCTACACACACACACACAAATATGTGCACAAAAGTTACTTAGGAATCAGTTTGGGGGAATATTTCTACTTGGAGAAAGATAATGCAAAATCATGCAAGTATCTAAAATAAGAAATCAAAATATAAACATAAAAAGGAAAAGGCTTTCTATAACTTCCAAATGAAGGAATGTCAATCCAGAGAAAAATGAAAGATCAAGATAGTTAAGTCAACTTGAGGACCACAAAATATCCTAAATACATGGGCTATTAAGCAAATGAGGTTGTACGTGTTACTACTTACAGGACAGCTGTGATTTCCTTTTTACACATGAAGAGGCTCAGAGGGTAAATAATTTGACTGATTATACACAGACAGGTAAAGCAAAGCTGGGGTTTTTGTTTTTCAAGTGTATACCTTATATTAATTAAAATTTACATCTACCCAAGTAATACATATAATTAACAAATCAGAATCATTAAAAGATATATAATGAAATTATAAACAGTATCATTTCCATCTTGCTGCCTTTTATCCATTCATTGTATTTCCCAGTGCTTTTATTTTGCTTTTTATTTTAACAAGAATATTTTTAATTTTCAAGGTCTCTTTCTTCTTCATGGTTGCTTCTATTATCATTTTTAAAGTATCCTATTCTTTTTTAATGGAAGCAATGTCTTAGTTTTTAAAGGGCAGTAGCAGCAGTTCTCTGGGCCCCTGTTTATCACATCAGAGGCTTATAAAGTGTTCTGTGATATTGGTTGCCGGTTTATATGTAATAGTAAGGAATTAAAACATTAAAAGCCTAACTAGGAGGGGTGTGTTTGTGTGTGTGTGTGTGTGTGCGCACATGTTGAGGTAGATTGTCCTATAAACCTAAAATAAAGATAGCCCAGTTAAATTTGAATTTCAGATAAAACATTTTTAATGCACATATGTCTCAAATATTTTATGGGATGTGTGTGGGGCATGTGCACGTGTGTAGGTACACTAAAGTATTTACTGTTTATCAGAAATTTAAAATTTACCTGGGCCTTCTGTGTTTCTGTTTGTTAAATCTGACAGCTCCTGACTTTCTGGGTGACTGTGCTCTGGACTGTGGGTTTTCAGGTAGAGACACTGTTTTGAATCCCCCGCCACACTGAATCCCTGGAGCACTACATCTGACACCACATCTCATTCCCCTCTGCATTTCTCCTTAGCTCACTGTTTGTAGAATGAACCTCTGGCCTTCTTCAGGGGTGAAGGAAAGGAAGCTGACCTGGTCATGTTGATGGAGGATTCATGAGCTTAGAGGGCTTAGCAAACCGACTTGCTGGCAAGCTCCTTGCCTTGAGTTTTGAGTATCATGTCCACCTTTCAGGGTACTTTTTTTTTTTGTCTCTGTGCCCTAAGCAAGGTTTGCAGAGCAAACTGACTCGCTCTTCTCTGCACTGTCCTCTGTGGATCGTGCCTTCTACTTGTACCCTGCTAGGTCACCTATCACTCGTTGGTCTGCCTTTCATTTCTACAAATGTACTGGCAGCTTTTGCCAGTTGTGTGCCCTTTTTCTCCTTGCAGATTCATGCCTTTTTTCTTTTAAATTTATTTATGCCACTCTGAGGAGTTTTAGGAGGCAGACGACACAGACACTTGAGCTCAACACACCAGGTTAAGTTAGAATGCCAGAGTGAGACTGAAAGCCATTTCAGTCCAGCTCTTCCCACTACACCATGTACTAACCCCTTCACAGACTCCAGCAGCAAAGCCTGGGGTATAGAGTGCCAGGTGTAGCCCTGCATTCTGCCTTCTTTCTCCTTTAGCAGTAGAATTTCAGGTTTTTATCTGGGCACATGGCTATACAACAATAAGAGTTTTTCAACTTTCCCTGATGGTAGGTATGGTCAGGTAACTAAATTCTCACTAGTGGGATATAAATGGAATGTAAGTGGAAGTGTTATGTGGTAACTTCTAGAAAAATCTCACAGAGAATAGCTTGCATTACCTTGTTTTTTTGCTTTGTCTTTTCTTCTAGCTGGAATCTAGACATTATGGCTGGAGCTTGAGCAACTGTCTTGGACTAAGAGGTGGAAAATATGTATTGAAGGTGGCATCAAAAAAGATAGAAGAAGCCTGGGACTCTGAAGGCATTATGTAACTACTGTACCAATTTCAGACTGCTGTTCTCTAGACTTCTTTTATGTAACAGAGAAGTAAGTCACTGTTGCTCAGAGTTTTCTGTCTCTTACAATTAAGCCTAATTCTAACTGATGCAATGCTGAAGTCCAGGAATATTTCACAGGGATTGACATAAGATTTCCTGGAAAAAGTGACTTAAAGGATGGTTCATTCAACTAATTGCAGAAGTGGAGGGGCAGGGCCATGATATGAACAGGCCGTGAGGGACACTACATACAGTGCTTCAAAAGGTGGTGTATAAACCAGTCTCAATAAAATAAGTCCTGTGGGGGAGAAGTGGAAGATAATGAAAAAAGATTGGGGAAAATTATGGAGGAACATGAAAGTCAAACAAAAGTTACAGCTTTCCTAGAAATCAATGAAGACGCTGAAGATTTTGAAATGGAAATTGGAGATACAGGTCTACAAGGTTAGAGAGAAGAATTTCAGTCTTCTACATACAGTAATACCCCATGTTAAGAGAATACAGAAGCGAGGCTGGAGAAAGAATCTGAGTAGAGAGAGAACTTAAGTTCAAGAACTGGTAGGCAGGGAAAAAGAAGAGAAAAGATCTGGGAAAGGAGAGGGAAAGAAAACTGGATGTTGGGGAAGCAAAACAGAAACTGGCAATGAGAAGTCAGTAGTCCTTCAGATACCTTAAACAAAACTAGAAAATATTAGAAATCTTCGGGGACCGCTCCTCAAAGTGTAAATAGATGCAAAGAAAGCAGAGGAACCAATGGGCTCTACTTGTTTAAAAACAGTAAAATAAAGCCAAGTTGAGACACAATTAAAGAGCTCCACAAGGTCTGTGAAATAAGGGAGAGCAGTTGTTTAGTTTTTAAGATAGGAAGGAACTGTGAATATCAGTGGAAGAAGACAGAGAAATTCCCCAGCTGCCAAAAGAGCTGGTATCTGAGAGTGCTGGTCACCCTGGGATTGGGAGGGATGGAATTTTCTGCTCAGAGAGGTTTGTATTTTGGGAAGATGAAGAACAGGTCTAACAAATAGAAACAGAGAAGCAGGGAATCAAAGCTTAGATTTCTAGTCAACATTCCATTAACAAATTTCATCATCATCATCACCACTATGATCACCATATCAATATCATTATAGATTAGATCAGAAATAATAGTTGAAAATAACAGTCTTAGTATCTAAAATGAAAATGGCCATCACTCAGTTTCAGAGTCAAGGATAGGGTTCATAAAACAGAAGAAAGATAAAAAGCTTGCCATTATAGCCCTGTATCACACTGCTTATACACACTACCTTGAAGAACTTCATTTAGATAAGGAAAAAAATATCATTAAAAATTTAGCCCTTTTACATTTTATCTCAATGCTAGAATAATAAGCAACCCCCAATATGGACCTGAAAATTAATTATAAGATGGAATTTTACATATCCATTTGTCAAATAGATCAAAAGCCAATACTTACTCAAAGTACAGCGTGAGGTCTGTTGCTAATATTGACTGCTTCAAAAGCTGCATAAGGTCACTATATTCCTTGGAGGACAAATTAGCAAAGATGTTGTGACCCTGTAATAAGAAAGTAAAAAGTCACAAAAGACATCATTAAACCTGTGGAGGTTGATTACATGTTTTTCCTCCTATATTAAAAATTAAAGATCTAGGAACACGATAATCATTTTTTAAAAGCTTAATAAAATTTTGTATAAATACAAATAAATTGCCTGGCAAACATAACAAAGCTATGAAGCAAATCGTTTTTGAGGAGGCTCACATAGAAACAATTTATTATGTGCTTAATATCAAAAGAAAAACTCTGAAAATGTTTGAACTTGCCTTACTATGAATATTTGTGTCAACAATACCTGACTGCCCATTTCAATGGAAGTTCATAGTGGAGAAGTTGGCAAAATGTTTGGGAATCTTTGTGGCCATAAAATAAAGACCACTTTCAGTACTATAAATTTAATTGACATCTTGGAAATACTTGTCGTGGTAACAAGTGACTTCAAGGAGAAAAAGTCATTAGAATAGTATTTGTCAATGGGGACAATTTTGACAATGGGGACTTTTGACTATCTCTGGAGATATTTATGACAGTCACAACTGGATGGGGACATTGTAGCATTTAATGGGAGAATCTGGGATCCTAGCAACCATCCTACAATGCACAAGGGAGTCCCTCCAAACTATCTCCCTGGGCTGGGTGGTGGTGGTGCATGCCTGTAATCTCAGTATTCAAGAGGTTGAGACAGGAGGATCTTGTGAGTTTAAGGTCAGTCTGGGATACATGATGAATTCAAGGCCAGCCTGAACTACATAGAGAGACTCTGTCTCAAATAATCAAAACCAAACCAACCAACTAAACAAACAATAACAAATCAAAAGACTCCCTGGCCTAACTTGACTGTGCTGCTGAAGCTGAGAGACTACATATCAAATTGTTGGGATAAACTTTGTTGAAGGGTGTGGTAGATTAAGTTTAGAATGATGAATAATTACAAAGAGCTAGGTCATATGAGATGTTATCCTTGGCATAGAAAATTTAGTTTTACCTATGTAAAGTTTCAATTAAAGCTTTTTGTCCAAACCTATGAAAAACATGCTTCTTTTTAATCAAAATTTGTTTGAGCTTCTCTGTGCAGCTCCACTATTTGTTTTGAGTAAAGTGAAAATCCTTCTGTGACATGATCAACAATTCACTTATTCTGCTTTAAAAGTCAGATTTGTTTAGCCTGACGTATGAACTTACAATTGTATGGCTTGAAAAACGGACCTTTTAAAACTGAGTGTTGAGAGCCAGAAAATGCAGGAGAAGGGGCAAATAACTGCCTGAGAATGAACTGTTCTCCAGTGAGGGGTAAATTAATTCTTTCAAGGAACCAGAAATATCAATTAGTAAATTCTCTTACTAGGCACCAGATGATAATCTGCTCCCCTGAGTTAATTTATCTCTTTGGGTGAACCTGCTATTCCTTAAAGACGAAAGTACATTGGTTCCACCTGGGACCAAGTCCAATAGTAATAATAATTTTCAAATGGACTCTTCCAGATGCTTAAGTCAGCCATTAAGAAGAAGATAAACAACTGAATGAATGCTGCACCGTAATTCTGCTTAGGTCTTCCTGCCTGAGCGGTACCCCATGGATCTGTCATGAGTGTTCTGAGGCCTTTGAAAAAGTGACCAGAAATTATGAAAAAATAGTCACTTTACATCCAGACACACACCCAGCATCGCCCAGTGAAAAAAATATAGACCTGAGAAGCAATTACATAAAAGTTAATGTTCAGACAAAGAGAAAACTGGTCTGAACTTGTTTAGTTTGCGAAGGCATTCACTTTACTACTTTCAAAGGATGTAAGAAGATCTAACACCACTTCTGATGAGCAGACTCTCAAAGTGAACTAGATCTGCTTTAATTTTTAAAGCAAGTTAACATGCATCACCATATTAGGTTTGTATGTGCTTGTATGCAAACTGGCCTTTCACCATATCTCAAGATTTGGTTCCCTGAAGTAAAAGTTGAGTCTCCCTGAAGCTCTGTTTCTATGGCTATTTAGGTAAGGAGAGAATGTGGAAATGATGAAAGGAAAAACAAATGTGGAGAGGTCTGGGGCAACTTTCCTCACACCCTCTAGCCTCTCTGCCCTGGGCACCACAGCGGGTGCAGCGTGCATGGCTCCATTATTATTGGCCTCTCTGTTACTCCTAGGAGCCCAGAGTGAAGGGGGCCTATGTGTTATGCTCATGTGGATGCAGAGTCAAAGGCCGGGGGTTTTCCCCAGGAAACCTGATATCTTGTTTATAATCTTTGTTGTGATAAACGTAGGGCTTTCTGGGGTCAGAGGTGTAAATTCATCACTTTGCCAGCACAACAAAGACAGTGTGAACCCAGATGTTTCCTATATCTCGTATCCTCTTCCACAGAGCTCAGCCAAGACACTGCTTTCGTAGGAAAATTACAGAGTCCCAGATGCTGGGATGCTGGCTTCTGTCAGTTACTGAGAGCTGAACCCCGGGTGTTTCATTCAACACTGCAAATACATCACCCTTAGCAGCCTTGCCTTGCCCTGCTGGCACTCCGGTTCCGGAGCGGTGACTATCCTTTATGGGGTCGAAGGCTTTCATGATATTGCAAAAGCTTTCTCAACACTGGCTGGAGGAAAAAAACCTCCATATTTAATGATGCTATTCCAGCGAAGCAGGGCCTTAATGATGATAATAATAATAATTAATGGCACAGTTAGAGAACTGACAAATAATGGGGAACAGATGATCCCTTCCTGGCCTTGGAAAAAAAAAGTCTGTACGCCTGCAGAAAATTAAACAGATCCTTTTCTGGCAATTTAAAACTCAGATGCCTCAGCCAGAGTCAGTTAGTCGTTTCTGTTTTTCTCTGCAGAAGACTAAAAGTACAAAGCCCAACTACTTCCAACTCCTGCATTGCCACAGGAAGCAAAATAAGGCATATCCCTCAGCCCTGGGTCTGAGGTTTTGCTGCAGTTCAAACTTTAACACCCGTCCCACCAGCAATTTAAAGTTCTTTTATCTTTTATAGGTTTCTCCATTGTGCTAACAAAGTGTAACTTTCTCACCGGGTTTTTGCTTCTATCATCTTTTAGAATGGCTTTGAGGTTTGCAAAAAAGGGAATGTGGGGCCCCCTCAGTACTTGAATCAAATTATTCCCTTAGTGAGTGTCTTAGTTATTTTTCTCTCATTGCTGGGACAAATACCCAATACCCAAGATTAAAGAGGGAAAGTTTTATTTAGCTCACAGTTTGTAGAGTCCATAATCAGCTGACTTCAAAGCAGGGTGGCATGGCAGAGGGGCAGTAGTTCAAGGTAGTAGAAGACAGCAAAAGCAACAGGAGGAAAAGGGTGGGGGAGAGCAAGCCTCTTTTTTCTCTCTTATATTGTGTGCAGGGTCCCTACCCTCCAGTGGGGGTAGCACTCACACCATCTCCACATTCTCCTCTTGCATAAGCTCTGGATGTTTACAAAATGAGGACCCTGACCCACTGCTGACTTACTTAATTAAACTTCTAAACTTTTCAAATTGACACAATAATTGACACAACATCCTAGAGCAGTAAGGGCATGTCTTCTACACCCTAAGATGCAGAACTGTTCAAAGTTTCTAGACTTCTCAAGTTGATGCAATGTGTCAACCATAACCATGAGCCTCTGTTAGAAAGGCAAGAGAGAACCGTGGCAGTAGGCCCTGTGTATCTGTCACCCAGAGAGGAAGGCCTTCAGATGAACCTTGTCACTGCACCAACCCAGGTGAGGCACCTCAGAAGGAATTTGAACAAGGTTCTCTGTCATTTAAAGGATTCAGAAAAGCCACCAAACCCAGTAGCTTGTTTAAACTTGTTCTTCTCGCTTCTTCATACCTTCCTGTGGAACTATAAAGAAAAAGCAGTAGGAACTAGACCGTGGGTCTTCAGGCAAGGGGAAGAATAGAGCAGGCTGTACCTCACTTTGAAGGATCATCACAGCATGGTTAAAATGGTGATGCTCTAAGGTAGCCGAGGTCCCATAGAGTTGGGCCAGTGCAGAGCCACTCCTGAAAGAGGACAGAAGGCAGCGTGAGCAGGACCTTCACTTGAGCCATCCTCACACTTGCTCTGGATTGAACTGCTTTCCCTCCTGAAATGTCTTTCAAGGCACTGGCCTTGACCATAAGAAATGCATAGATTATTAAGAAAGATGAGATATAAGTGTAAGTAAAAATAACATACACACCAATATAAATACTAATGCATTGTAAACATAGTGTTTCTGGTCTAATCTAGGTGCTGTGGTGAAAAAAAGAGACAATTTCTGGTTCTGGGTGTCAGTGTGATTGCCATAAACTGAGCCTCAAGTCTTCTGAATACTCAGAGCACTATTGAATCAAGTGCACTTGATCCTTTTATAGGAAAAGACCCTAGGGCAATTCTGAATAACCTACTTTATTTATTTTAATAGGTTGACAACTTTCTGTTAGGTTCCCCAGTCTGCAGTCACACTATGATAACCCACGTAGAGCTCTGCAGTGTTCCCTGGATTTGGAGTTGAGTTTCAGCGCTGCCTCTACTTGGCAGCTTTGGACAGTTCAGCTCCTTGGCTTATTTAAGGCCTGGCTTCTTTACCTGTACTATCATGATAATACTATATACCTTGCCTGTCACTAATGAGACCATAATGAAATATTTTAAAGTAGCTATTGTCTGGTATGGAGTAGCTTGCAGTCTATATCACTTATTAGTTAATAAGACACATTGGATATTTCCATTTAAAATCAATAAAACATTAATAGATACATGATGGAATTTCTTTCAGTTACTGGAATTTTATTTACATAGAACAACCCATCCCTCAACAATGTCAGGTCATTAAAGTGCTAATTTAAAATATCCAAACACATTCATTTCCAACTCCTTTTCTGGAAATTAGAATCCCACAGGATAAAGTACTGGGACTCAGGCTGAAGACGTATCTGGATCTCTGGGCTCTCTTGTTTATTGTAGGAGGACATGGAAAGGACAATTAAGCCTTTAACTGGAAATGCTGGAGTTTGATAGCTCATGGCTTGCCCTACTAGTGAGAAGGGGAAAGACTACACGTAAATGCAGTGTGAAGAATTTCTGTCCCAAGCTTCTCCTCACCTCCAGTGTGAGGCAGCTCAAGACTGTAGCTAGTTCCTGGGGTACAGAGGATTGCAATACTTGAAAATACTCAGAACTCACCTCATACTGGAAGAAATAGAAAGGCTGGCTAGGGTTATTAAGGATTACAATGTAGAAGGACAGTAAGGAGGACACTAGATTTTAATAAGTGTTATTTCTTTAAGTCATGCCTTACCTAATATCAACTAATAAGTAAAACTTTGCCAGACCAACCTTAGTGGATTAATATTTAATGCTAGTAACCGCATGTCTTGCATAGAATTCATTTCTATGAAAATGCATGTTTCAAAATGCACACTGTGTCTTGGCTATTGAAATTCTGAGTACCTTGTATGGAGTAGGTGCTTTTAAATATATTAATTGTTTGGTGAATAAGCTTCTGGTGGTATGCCTAGAGATTATATTAAAATCAGAAGGTCGACAGTGATAGGTGTGCTGGCGTATTTTATAGTAATATATTATTAATAATAATAGTTACCATTAGCAAGTGCTTACTACGCATTAAACATATAGGCCACTTAACGTGCTTTTCATGTAGTTGTGATAACATGAACATAGGCAGTCCTAATGACTAAAAGCCAGGTAGTATTATTTTCTCATTTTACATACTAGGAAATGAAGGCTTAGAGAAATTGTACAACTTTCCTAAAGTCACACCATCGGCTAGTAGATTTAAATTTAAGTTTTAAGGCTTCTGTTACATCATAAGAATGATAATTGTAACAAATATTGCTTGATGTCTGATTCTTCATTTTTACCAAGCTGGTTGTCATCAGTGAAAGAAGATTTCAAAATTCCGAATTCTACTAATGTAACTGCTAATCACATGCTCAGATTCCCATGATTCCTTTCTGCTAAATCAGCCATGTTCAAACACCACTCACTCACTAGTTTGAATCCTAACACACAGTCAGTGATGAGAGCCTGAAGAGTCAGGATGCAAAAATGTTATCTCCTCCTTTATCCACATTGGTTTAGTAGACCCCATGAAACTCCAATCAGTTAGATGGTCACAAGTCACTTTAAATTTTCTTTGTTCAAGATGAATAAGGAGCATTTTCTTTCTTTAACCAGGGGGAAATTTATAATAAGTAGTTATGCTTCTCTAACTCATGTGGCTTCTGAACCATTGTGCTTCCTAAGACTTTCAGGCTGTTTGCACAATAGCAGGCATGTGACTGTCCATGGTTTGAGCAGCTTCCTCCTCAGATCCCCTCTGTTCCCTTCAGTAATTGCATCCTACATTCTGCCTGCCCTCACACAATACTGTTTTAATCATAGAAATGGGCAAGTTTTGCAACTGAAGCAGACTGATGCTATGAAAGCTCAGAAAGACATTGAAATCCATCCATTTTTCATCTGTTATTCATTCAATCCAGCCAACAAGCATTGATGACCAGTATGCGGCCCCATGTGGAAGACAAAGATACCTCAGATATGGATCTTACTTTCGGGAAGTTCACAGTCTCCTATAATTGTGTTGGAGACTTTTCTAACCAGTCTTACATTAAAAATGCTTACCTTTCTATAAGCTAGGTGCTACTGTGGACATCAAGAGAATGCAGTGTGGTGTTTACTCTGAGTTTTCTACAGTGACACCATTTAAGCAAGAGCATTTCCATTTCTAGATAGATCCCTTGTTACACTATTGGCTATTGTTCCTGTCTGAATTTTTGATATGTCCAAACCTCACAGTGACTTCTGTGCTTAACTAGGGCTCACTGAGAGGACTGCTTATAGCCATCATTATGTACTGTGAGCTTCCTAAGACTATCAGGAAGGAGCAAAATCCACAGCCATAAAACTAGACATAATTAGGAAAAAGTAAAGCCTCTCTAGATAAGCTTTAGTGAAAAGTATTCTGTAGAACACTGGTTCTTTTTAATGCCAAGAGGTATAAAGGACAGAAATTCAAAGGGTTCCATTGTCAATGACACATTCAGGAAATTCTGACTTTAAACATTTAAACTGTTGCTTTATTGTACATTTCCCAGAAACTATAATATGTGAAAATGTGCTTTGTAATGTTGTAGGAGGGGGACAAGATATGTAGACTTATTCACTCTTAACTGATCATAGAACTATTTTTTTTAAGAGATCGTGTGTTTCATGTAATATAGTTTGTGTGAAGGTATACTTCTGCTCTTTCTTTGTTTTGCCATATTTGACTTTATTCTCTTCCAAAAAAAAAAGTAATAAGAACTAAGGAGTAATAAAACCCAAAATGTGTAAATTTTGTTGTAAAAAAGAGAGGGAAAAAAGTGCTCTAAAGGATACAACTGCAAGTGTATTTAGGGGTGTTAAATAGCTGACCATATTAATGTTTTTGGTTGGATCATTGAACACAACTGTTTGCAGTCTCTCTGTTTGAATGTTCACTTTGTATGCTTTGATACTGTGACTTGAGCAACTATCTCTAAGACGATAATGTGTAATCTATTAACTGGTGATTTCTTACTTTTATTTTTTGTAGTTCTGTTTATTAGTTGTACCCTTACACTGCTTTGTTTTGTTTTGTTTTTTCTCTTTTTCCTTTTAAATAAAATTAAAAAAAAAGAAAATCACCAAAACTAAATCATAAAAAACTAATCACATATGGAAAGTAGTAGTTTTATTATCATACCTCATTTTGATTGTTTGTAGTTAATATACACATCAGACACATCAGGTAGAGTGCATATATGGGGAGAGGAAATCTAGTACATTTATATGTAGGTGTTTGTGATGAGCATTAGTAACTCACCAAATACAAAATTTTTTCATTTTGGAACAGGTGACGTGCTGAGGGGAAATTTATTAAGAAGAAAAGTCAAAGTGAAAATTTTATTTCTGCAGGCATTCAGTGCTTTGCACAGGCATCGTTCCTTGTATGACAATCAGCATGAAAATTGAAATGTACCTTCAGAACTTCCCTAGATATGCATATTCTTTGGAGAAAAAAAGACAATGGCAGTGTACAGCCATGGGTTAACGAAAACTTTAAAAAGGAAAACTATGAGAGGTAATTAGGAAATGGAGAATTGTTGGGAGGTGGTGAGGAATGGGATTAGGCTGTCACAGCAGATTAATGTACCCCAGTATTTCACTTCTGGGACCTGGCCGAAAGCGACAAGATGGGTTTTCATTCCCAAGAAATGAGTGTAAGAGATTATGCTAGAAATGAATAGAAGAAGTCTCCTCAGAGAATATAGTACAAAGCTGCTCGGTGCTGATATTTAATCATCAGGGGCAGCTGTAATAGAGAAGGGGATGAGTGGGGAACACTGTCCCTGGAGAAAACAGGGGAGAGGTGTGAATGGGCAATTTTAAAGCACTGGGTATTGCTGCCCTCTCTATTTATTGATCATTCACTGCACGCACTCCAATACTTAAAAATTAAGAATAAAATATGAAAATGCAAAGGTTCACTTATCAGAAAGGCTAAGAGTATAAATCAAATTGTGCTCTAACTAAAGTCACACTTTTTATTGTAGAGGCATTTTGCATTTTATATAGTAATTTGTCCCTTGCTAAATGTCTTCTGTGTCTTTATAGCCTTATATATGAAAAAAGGTAGCATATGCTTTGCCACATAATAATTGGTGCATTTAAATTCCATTTCCAAATCACTTGAAAGGGTGGAAATAGACAGTGAATACTTTAAGAGAAAGGATTGTTTTCTATACTTCTTGATTTCTCCCACAATGCTTAGCACAGAGCTTTGGACATAGGAACTACTCACTCAATTACTGGGAATAAAAAATCAGAAAAGGGTATAGTTTCTTTATAGGGATTTTCTAAACAATGGTGCACTCACTGAATAAATTCTATTCCAATCCATAAAAACAAGTTCCTTCACTATGATACAAAAAAGGTTTCTTTCAGCATCTACTGTCAAAGGAAATGTTAGGTCAGGTAGTATGAGCGTTAAGTATCCTAAGTTCAAAAGTGACTCCATAACATAGATGCAGGCTGCTGACCTCCCATGAGCTGGTGAAATGTGTACAAGATTAGTCATTTTGAGGAACTGCATGGTATCATTTTGGAGCAGGCTGATTTGATCATAGGACACAGTATGCAAAAATCAAAATGAAATCAAGTATCAATGACTTAGTTTTTATCTAATATACACAGAAGTTGTTTAATATTATACAAATGACTTGAGATTTGGGGATCTCAGTTCTCATTTTCTTAAAATTAAGACATTGAAAAATATGACTAGTAAGGTTTAATTCAGTTCTGCTATTTTTATGGCTCTACATCTTGAATTGTCAAAATATATTTTAGCTTTCTAGAGCCCCCATATTTGGCAAGAAGCCAAAAAATCCAAAATAGATGCCACGAAGTCATGAAAGAAAGTATGATACAGCAATTAAAGAAAGGCTTTTGGAATCACACAGTACAGGTCCACACTCTGCTGTACCACACAGTGGGCAACTTACTTTCCGAGGCTCAGTTCCTACTATAAAAATGGAGACAAAAATATCTATAGAAATATTGGTGAGAGCTTAAGAGATAGCAAAGAATAAATAAATTATAGTTTTTATTGTTTCTGAGACTGTCAGTTGCAAAAAAGAAAAAAATGAAATACCACCATCTCCTCCAAGAAGAGGTTTGGTTAAATGGTACTAGCAATTCTGAGGGAACTCAATTGTCACAAGTGGGGCCAACTCTCCTGGAGATAGGAGCAGCCATGGGGAGAACTTGGGACCAAGCCTGCTGTGTTTTTTAATCTTCCTCTTGGGTTACACAGTCCTTCCTTTTATCTTCTCTCTAATTATCAGCCTTATTCTTCTCTCCTCTCTGTTAACTGGCCATCTTGTTTCTTCATCCATTTGGGATTTGGCCATAATAGCTTTCCCAAAATGGCAGCTCTTGCTTGCAAGCCTATGTGGACTTGTAACTAGAAGATTCAGCACCATAGTAATCCAGCTCCACAAATTTGGGAGTCAAGATCTGATTGGTCCAATTTTATTAGGTGTGCACTCTTGGTCCAAACAGCTCAGGAGTCAACAGGCAAGAACTGTTTCTTCCAGTGGGGTACACAGGCACTCTTGCTAGGAAGAGATTACTGCTGTTCAAGTATAACTGCTGTACATTTCATTCTAACCAACAACCCACAAGGTTGTTGGCGCACTCTTGGTTTATAGTCATAATCTAGTACATTTATCTCTTCTTTAGGTGTAAGTGGTAAAAGGGTGAGGGATTGTAGGGAGGATGGTCTCACTGGAATAGAACAGACGAGAAGCCCAAAAAAGTAAGTGGACAGATAAGGATTTAAAATAAGGAACTCACAGACCCTACAATGAAAGCCTGTCTGGTTTATAATTCAGAGAGCTTTAGATTTTTAGTAGAGCCTCAAAGCTGTGTATATAAAGGTTATGCTTTACAATAACCTATAAAAGTTAGATCTATTTAATAAATCAGGAAATATCTATTGAAATATATATATATATATATATATATATATATATATATATATATGATAAAACTGCATTCATTCATTCAGGAGCCATTTCCTGTGTGTTTATTAGTAGCTGCAACTTTTTAGGAGTTGACATCTGTAAGCCAGCACTTTAAATGGAGTGAGAAACACACTTTTGGAGAGGGATAGCCATGCATTATGAAGACATAAAAAATTGACAAGGGGAATGACCTGATTGGCTTTGTGAATTCCAAAGAGTATTCTGGAGTGCCAAGAGTGAAAGAGCATTGAGCTGTTTGTGACAGCTATGCAAGACAGATGCAAAGAAACAGTCATTGTCTCATAAGAATGCAGAGGAGGGGCTCACTTGAGCAAAGCCTGAGGGAGTCCGAGTGACTTGCAGAGTTTGGTTGGGTCCATTCACTGGGATGGAGAATAAGAGACCGGGCTAAGTATATAGGAAAGACTGAGAATCAGATGCCTGTGTACTTCTGCTAGGAGGAATCCCTTTAGCAGCTGGGATGAAGGCTTGGAAATGAGCAGCAAATAGATTTGGGGCTTATGAGCAGATTGTTATAGGCTCCACAGGAAGAGCAGGAGACAAGCAAGAGACATCAGCAGTGAAGGCCAGGCAGCAGGAAAGGCCTTGAAGAAACTGAGCAGGGAGGCTATAGAGGTAGATGAAAATATTTTCTTAGAAAAAAATCAAGACAGGTACAAAGGAGGGAATGAGAAAATGCACCTAACAGCAAGAAGAGGGAAGAAAAGGGGACAGTAAAAAGATCCAACAGCTTTGAGAGAAGGGGGCTGTTGGTGACCTTGAGCATAGTTTCTCTGCTAAGAAAACTCTGGAAGCCATGTGGAAGGTAGTGAAGACAACCAACCCAAACAACACTCCAGGAAGCTTAACCCAAAGGAGTGAAGAAAATACAACAGAAGTTAGAGAGAGAAATGGGACAAAGTGGATTTTTGCAAGGTGAGGGAGGATTGCTGGCATTAATAGGATGCAGAGCACCAGGAGAAAGGGGACAGTAAGCAGAGGGGAGAGGGAAGGAGATTGATGGTGTGAGGTCCCAAGGGAGCAAGCCAGGAAGAGATCCAAAGCAGAGGTGGGGGGATCAGCCTCTGACAGAGAAGGGCAGCACTTCTGCTGAGATAGAAAGGGAGGAGGAAAGGATGGGGATGGATAGATAAGTTTGTAGGTGGCAGAGGAGGAAATTGAGAGAGTTCTCGATTGATGGCCTCAATTTTCTCGGTGAAGTAGGAGGCAAGGTGACTGTGTGGGGGATGTGGGCTAGGAAGGGAGAACATTAGGTGTCTGTAAATGCCCAAGAGTGATGAGGGACAGGGCTGGCTGGAGACACAGAGAGGGTGGGGAGTACTGAGCACTCAGCCGAGTTGGAAGAATATATATTTGATGTGTCTCAAACTCTCACAGCTGTGACATTTTCTCCCACAGCCTTTACTAGTCTAGGCAGAAGAGCAAGAAATTGAATTGTTAGAGTGAGCTAGGGCTGAGTTTTTGAAGAACAGATGTCACGGAAACATAAGAATGTCAAGAAATTATTCGATATTGAGAAGAGAAGGGTGAAGGGTTGGATGCTACCGGATGCAGGACACACAGACAACATCAAACCAAAATCCATTTGTTAGACCAGGAGCAGATGCAAGGATTGAGGGCTCCAAGGCCTCAGTGAGTAGGTGTTTAGGGAACAGAAAAGTGAAGCTGAGAGAAACCTGTTAACACACAGGCTATGGAAATTTCAGATAATGCAGGTTGACTTGCCTGGGACTCAACACTCATTCATCTTAATTTCATCTCCTTATTGAAGCCTCTTCTCACCTTCACACCATACAACTTTTCTTTCCATCTTCAGACCTCCTGTATTATTTTGTTTGCAGATAGTAAAAAGAACATTAAAATGGGCCTCACAATGTAAAGGGTCCAGAGAGCTGAGATTTGGTCATATTTCCAGTATCTCTGAGTTCTACTATGTTAGGCACTGAGTAATGGCTGTCTTGATCAGTACAACTTGCTTGGAGACAGATTATTCTATTCATGCTTTATGTGCAGGGCACATAGTGCCTATTTCATAAGTCACTGTATTTATGAAATTCTTTTACCCACTGTCCACCTTTCCATGGGAGTAGGGATGAGGGAAAGTAGGTCCCTATATGTGGCTTTACTTCACTCCAGTTCATATACTATCTATCATCAAAAGAATCTTAGAAGACTTATTTTGCTTCATCCAAAACCCAAGACCGCTGTTATTGGGATAGTCTCAAAACCAGATTTGAGAGCAGTGGGCTCCAAAAGCTTGTTATGCCATGAAGGCAAATATTCTGGGAGGGAAATATAGGCCTTTTAAAACCTGAGCTTTGTTATATGACTGAGGTCAACAGAGACAGACCAAATCAACAAGCATGACATGAAGGGCAAATTTGCAATTAAAAGAAGAATGGGGAATTATAAAGATGGATGGGCCCCACGACATGCACACCCAAGCCTGCATGGCCTTGGCCTCCGCTGCCAGAAATTAATGCTTTACTGTTTAGCGCTTGTCACCTTTGGCTTTGAACAGAAAGGCAAATGCACTAAAACAACAACAATTAGAACACTTACTTAGCTTGGAAGGCATTGTTGGTTCCCCTGTGGTCGAGGTCGTGACACAGGCATCCCACAATCACCGCTAAAATTTCCACCTCTGTCAGAATCTCTTGAAACCCAGCAGTCTGGGAAGAAGGGGAAATGGCAACAGTCACTACGGGGGCACGGAGGATGGATAAGGTTAGCCAGCTAAGCAACAATCAGCTCTGTTTTTATACCCACATCATTTAAGGAAATGATTAACTGCCACCGTCTCGGACGACAGTAAGTTGAGTGGTCAGTTGCACAGCCTAAGGTCCCCACAGTGATGGATTAGCTGGCTGTCACAGTGGTCTGCGCTGCCACACCAGGACAAAGTTCAGACTATTTTGTTCTCTTTTTCAAAAAGGAGTCTGTATAGTTAGATCCAGCAAGAGTTTGGCAAAGGCCTAGAGCAAAGCGTGGTTTGCTGTTGTACATTGTAATGATGAATATCAATGTTCAGTGGTAGCGAGATTAGAAGAGACTGCATTTTGAACTGAATGCTATATCCACCAGATGCCACTCAAATGAAAGCAGGCAAAAGAAAATAAAGCCTTTATATTAAAATGAATGCCTTAGAAGTACTCAAATTGTTACATGATGACTTTCTAGAAGTTATCCTTTAAATATTTTAATTCATATTAGGGTGGTGGACAGGTGAAATTCATACAGGTATTAATGAGGTGAGTGTCTTGGAAACTAGAATTTGGCAGAGGATTAAGCAACCCAGGAGGAAGACTGCATGGAATATCTATTACTGGAGTTGTTTTTTCTGATCCTGGTAGCTTTGCTTTTGAACACATAAGTGTGGCGTGATTTCTTTTGGAAGCAGTTCTATATAATTACGGAACCAAGAGCAGCAATGGTCCTTTGGTTCCTGCTGGTAGGTTCATTAGTATAGAGGAGGAAGTGTGCCTTCGGGAGAGAAGGGCTATGCATTTTCTGGATCCAAGGCCTTTTCTCCCCTCCTTTTATTCTTGCTAAGTCTCCTATTTCATTACTTATTCAAACCTCTATCAGAGAGCAGGAAGATTAAAAATTGTTTCACTTTTCATGTTTGTTTTTCTTTAACTCTATATTCACTGATGAATACATGGAAGACACTTCTGTTAGTGCCATGAAAACTTTGTTCTCTAGTTGGCTGTGCTTTTATTGCAGAAATAACTGAGTAACAGGATCCTGTGGTGATAGTTTTATTTTTGCAAATTGACTCGCAGCCTCTCCTACATTTAGAATTACAATTTCATTTGTGTAGCAAACACAATTGTTAGCAAGTTGTCTAAGAGCAGAAATAGTCCTATTAAATCTTATGTGTGCTGTTATTTTAAAATTTGGAGTTGGCTGCTGATTTTTCTGTTTAATTTATTTCAGTTAAAATACTACTTGCAATCTTTTTTAGTCAAATCATATTAAAAGATTTACAACCAGAAACCAGTAGTCCCTCATTCTTTCCCTTTCCTGATTATAAAAGAAAATTGCTTCCATTTTTAAGCCTAAATTAGTAGGTTCCCATCATATTTATAGTACGCATACATTATTAGCACTTGGTTATTCTCTAAATACTTGTATCGTCCTTGTTATGTACCCAATCACTGTCCGAAGAGCTTTCAGCTATTTAACTTAGTAAATTCTTAGAATGGAGCTATGAGATAGATATCATTATTATCCCCAGTTACAGATGAGAAAACTGAGCCCTGAGTGGTCACCCTCTGTGTCCAAGTGCTCACAGCTATGCAACAGGAGGAGGAGAGGGGCACACTCCCAGCATACTTCTGCAGTCTGCAGATGTCTGACAGTAGGTGAGAGCTATACTCCTGCACTTCTCCTTAGCCCCCAAAATAACCCATACACAGAGTTTTCCTGATGCTCACTTGATAAATACCACTTGCTGCTGAGCCAACTTAGTGCAATGATGGTCTCCTTCCTTCTGTACATACTTTCACTTCCTGGCATTAGGATTCCTCCCAAACATCTAAGACTCTCACTCTCTTACACTTCCTGTAAAACATTTCTTTACATACTGTTAAAGAGGGCCACAAGGGTCACATCCTTAATTTAATCCTTTATGTCTTCTGGGGAGCTTGAACTAGCTTCTTGACCATCCTTCAGGGCTTCCTCTTTCTTCTCCAGGGGGTGACTTTTTATCTCTTGCACCCCATGCCTATTCAGAAGCACATCTGCCCCTGGCTTCATGAGAAATGGTGTTAATTTTGTAACAGGGGCTGGGAGCAGGGAAGTTGATTGGTTTGCATAACTGAAAAAGACCCCTTTATTTTTGTACTTGTTCAGTTGCCTAGCAATTCTAGGTTGAAAGAGTTTCACTTAGGATTTTGAAGGTTTGCTCATTGTTGTTCAGCTTCTTGAGTTGCTTTTGGGAAGAATATATAATTATACTGTTCTTATTCCTAATACTTTGAATGTTACTTGATTTTCTTTCTTTTAGAATCTTCTCTGGTGAAATCACCAATTTCAAAGATATATTTTGTTTTGAATTTTTTTCAATTCAATTTCCACAGCAAACCTACCCTTTATTTCTTCAGTATGGTGTTCTTTTTTATGTTTAATCCTTTTTATGTTTTTTTTCTTAGTATCTTTTCAGTGCTATTTGAATGGAATTCCAACTGGTTGAATGTTAGGACTTCTTGGTATTAATTTTCTTGTCTTTCTTTATTTCTTTTTTCCCCTTTTTAGTATAGTTATTTCTTCTTTATAGGAGTTTTTAAGTAATAAGCATTTTTTTCTGCTCCTTTTTAAAATAGCATGCTCTTCCTCTCCCACAAATGCATTATCCTGGCATTTATGAAGACATTAATAACACATCCTTTGTGTTTTCTGAGTTTTTTCTTCCTCCTTGAATTGTCTGTTTCCTCTGAACAACTTTTTTTCTCTGTGTTTCCCTTAAAAGTCTGGGAACATTTGGCAGACTATTCACATTTAAGACTACACGTATTTATTCTGAAAGTTTATCAAGTAACCAGTAGTTGTTATCATACTATGGAAATAAGTGTTTTAAACGATGACACTGCAATGAAATTTAGACCCAGTGGATATGACTAGTGTCTTTCGGTAGTTGGGTCTCACTATAGGTAACCACATGGCCAGTTAGCTTTTTGCTAGATATCCCCATGTGTCAGTCTCTAAACTTACTCTCTCTGGACTCTCTAATCTGTTCCCTGGAGACGTACTGTGACTGAGAAAAGACAAATATGGCTGCCTGCCTGGAAGGTTGTAGACTTTCATTTGATGCTATTATTTTCAGTGTGTACTTCACTTCACTTTCCTTTTCCTGCTGTCCTCAAGTCTAGAGTGCAGTTTCTTTGGCACACACTCTAGGTACTGCACATGGTCAGCTGGCCCAATTTCTGTGGTATCTGAGAACCTTTTTGGTTCTGAGGGGCCCCGTTCCTCATATGTGGCCTGCCTTCCACCCCCTCAGACCTGAGGGCACGTGGGGTGGACCTTGCTCATCTCTGCTAAGTTATGAACCATCCTCCTTCCATTTTCTCCCTTTTGATGTTATGGATCCACAAAAAGGAAAGTTTATGTGCATTTCAGTTCTTATTATATGGTGATAATTTTTGAAGGGAGAAGGGAATATAAATATGTTCATTGTTATAATTGTCATTTAAAACTATTCTTTTGAGTTTGATCTTGCTAATGCTAGGTTAATCAGTAATCAGTAGTTATTATGATACAATGAAAAATTTTTTTAAACAATGAGACTGTGATCTATCTATCTATATATCTATATATGTATAACATAAATTGCCTGTGAATATACTACTGACTAGAACTAACTGATGAGTCCGAACACTAAAAATGAGTACAAGACTAAAATACCATTATTTGACTAGAAAATTGGTTAGAAGTTAAAAATCAAACACCATCTAATAGATTTCCTATCAATACTCCCGATTACTTTTAAGCCATCAGTATCCATTATATATATTAGGATGGAGCTAATTTTGTTGTAATTCTTTACATAATTTTTCCCCCTTGGAAATCTAGCATTTGGCTCTTAGATTATTTGTATCATAGACAGTTTTGAGAACTTGATAAAAGTTATGTGCTTTCTTTCTAAAACTTTTCTATAATTTTATAGTATTTAAAGACCACAGAATCTATCTCTGTGTCCCTTGGCTAAAGATTCTCTGAAGCACAGCATACAGAGCCACACAGAACATATTTACCTCTCCTGACTGTGATACCTGAGTAACTGAAGCAGCACCTATCTCTTGACTGTGATTTAAAGCTGCCCAGTAAATGGCTTCTGAGAGAGATCAGGCCTGACAAGTGTCCCCCTGCCACGAAGCGGCCATTTGCCCTTCCCCCACCCCATCCATCTTCTTCTGGTCCTATCCATCCAAACCCTGTATTGAACAGAAAAGTCAACTGTCTGCTGAAGAAAATATACCTTCAAAAGAAAACCTTCAAACAAAAGAAAAGCAGTCAAGGCATATTTTAATGCATTTATCCCATCTTGACTCTAGTTCATTATTTTATCTTCAAATAAAATTATGTTTTTTCTTTCTTTTAGTAATTATGAATTTTTATGATCTTTATATTACTACAGCCCCTCATATTTTCTGTCAGAAATGTAAGCAGCGAATACAATATATCTAAGTAGAGAGATATTCAAAGAATGTAGACCTAGTTCCCAGGGCACGCTCCTCAGAAAAGCCCCAGAGGTGGTCACTCACTAGGCTGAAATATTTGGTGAGATAACCCTAGGCCCAGCTACCACAGCATACAGTATGCTGGACTCCAAAGTCCCCAGACCAGAGGACTGACTCTTAGGGTCTCCTAGAGCATCAACTAATTTCCATCACTAACCAACCCAAAACGTAATTCAATTACGATGCACCCCCCCCCCCCCATTTCAAAGCCAAGCCTGTTTAATACTATCAAGTGCAGGAATACTATCAGAGAAAAGTGACTGTCACTTTGTGGCTTTTGAGTCCAAATAGGTGCAAAAATAACAGGCATAATAGCAACACTAGATGATGCTATAGGGGATTTGTTTACTTAATAATGTTATTCAATATCAACCAAATGGTATAAATGAGAAAAGGGGATTAGGAAAACATAAGCAACAGATGCTAGG